CACAAGGCACTCCCTTGTGGAACGAATCAGATCCGATTCTTCCAAAAGTACCCCCATCTTCTCCTCAAAACAGCCCTCATAAAACTTACTCCCCACACTCTTCCGTAAAATCTGAAACCACAGATTCTTCAGAAACCAAATCTGAAGACTTAACCATGAGTGGAGACGAAGCAGAAAATACCCTTAGAGAGTGGGCCACTCAAGAGGTCAATCATCAGCCCCTCTGTATCACTTTTCCGGAAGCCCAGAACTTCGAGCTTAAATCTGGGCTGATACACCTTCTCCCTACGTTTAGAGGACTAGAAAACGAAGACCCACATAAATTCCTCAAGGAATTTCATATGGTATGTTCTGGAATGAAGCCACATGCGATTACTGAAAACCAGATCAAACTAAGGGCATTCCCCTTTTCGGTTCAAGATGCAACAAAGGAGTGGTTATATGACCTCCCATCTAGTTCAATAACAAGCTGGAAAGAACTCGCCAAACTTTTTCTAGAGAAATATTTTCCTGAGGCGAAAGTGTCAAACCTGCGCAGAGAGATTCTTGGTATAAATCAAGGCAAAAGAGAGGCTCTCCACACTTATTGGGAGCGGTTCAAGAAGCTGCTGGTCCGATGCCCTCAACACGGCATTAGTGATTATCAGTTGTACCAGTGTTTCTGCGAAGGCTTGATACCCATGGAGAGGCGACTTATAAATGCATCAAGTAGAGGGTCACTTTCAGATATGACACCAACAAAGATCCAGACATTGATTGAAAAGCTGGCAAACGAATCTAAGCATTCAGCAACTGAAGAAGAGTGGTACCCGGACCAGCCAAAAGGAGTCAAAGAAATAAGTAATTCCCACCTGGAATCTCAGATTTCAGAATTGACTAAGGCTGTCCTCTTGCTAACAAAAGAAAAAGGTATCGAGTTAAAAGTCAAAGCTTGCAGGATCTGCTGCAAAACGGGGCACCCAACTGATATGTGCCCAATATTACAAGAGGATACAGTTGCAGTCAAAGCTGTCGGGGGCTACAAACAGAATTTTCAGAATAATTATTAGCATAAACAACAATTTCTTCCTCCACCCGGATTTCAGCAGCAGAGAAATTTTCAGCAGCAGGGTTTTCAGCAAAATTTCCAAAATCAGCAGAATTCTCATTTTCAGCCCAACTTCCAGAATTCAAATTACCAGAATCAGAACATACAGCAGCAACATTCTGGCAGCTCTAGTATGGCCTTGGAGGATATTGTTAAAAGTCTGGCCACCAGCACTCATGCGTTCCAGAACGAAACCAGAGTCAGTATCACAAATCTAGAGCAGCAGGTGTCTCAACTTGCCACTTCTATGGGTCGACTGGAATCTCAAGGAAAGTTACCAGGACATACAGAAAACAATCCAAAGCATAATGTGAGTGCAATTTCCTTGAGAAGCGGAAAGACATATGAAGGCCCAAGCTTATCTGAACCAGAAAATAAGGTTGATGAAGAATTTGAAGAAGTTCTAGTGGAAGAAGGAGATTTGGAAGAGACAGAAAAAGGAGTTGAAGCTGAAGAGTATGAAGAGGTTTTGGTTGAAGAAGAAGCTGAAAAAGACAAAGAAAAAGAAACTCCAACACTACCCAAGCCAATTCTGAAAGAATACAAGCCACTACCGCCCTTCCCATCGCGACTGAGGAGCACGAAGCGCGAAAGAGATGATGAAGATATTATGGAAATCTTTCGCAAGGTTGAGGTAAATATACCACTTTTAGATATTATCTAACATATCCCTCACTATGCTAAGTTTCTTAAAAATTTATGTGTCTCAAAGAAAAAAATGAAATTTAATGAGATTGTAAAAGCTGGCGAAAATATCTCCTTTATTTTACAAAAAGGTTCGCCTCCAAAGTGCAGGGATCCGGGGATTTTCTCAGTTCCTTGTAAATTGGGGGACCTTAGTTTTCCAAAAGTCATGCTTGATCTAGGAGCTTCAGTTAATGTCCTTCCCTATTCTATTTTTGAAAAATTAAAAATAGGAACCTTACAAAAGACCGGGACAATTATACAGTTGGCTGACCACTCAACAGTACACTCAAAAGGTGTGCTGGAGGATGTTCTTGTCCAAGTGGATAATCTGATTTTTCCCACTGATTTTTACATTTTGGACATGGAAAACTTGGACACTTCAGATACAAACTCTATTATTTTGGGAAGACCTTTTATGAAAACTGCAAAAACGAAAATTGATGTTTTTGTTGGTACACTTTCAATGGAGTTTGATGAGGAAGTTGTGAACTTTAAAATTAATAATGATGATTTTACTTCTGAAAATATTTCTGTCAATTATATGGGTACCAGCAGTCCTTTATTAGAGGGCTGCTGTGAGTTTCTAATGTCTCTATGCAAGAAAAATTTGCCGACATGAATTTATCATACACATAAGGGGAGCTGGCTGAAGATAAGCTTGGGGAAAATAAAGGAGGGATCTTGGTTGTTGAAAAGATATCAGTAGAAGCTGATAAACTTGAAAATAAGTTATCTGAAGGGGCTGAGATTGAGTTGAAAAGAAACAAACTTTTGGAAGGAGAAGAGGAAAAAGTGATGAATTCCGTTGAAGTGATTTCAGATATGAATCTGAAAAGAAGAAAGTTTGAAGAAAAGGAAGTGAAGACTTATAGGAAAAAGAAGAATATCATAAAGAGGAAGAAGTTTGAAAATCTGCAAGACTTATTTGAAGATAATCTAAATTCTTTTCAGTCTGTTGAGCAAGTTCCAGATCCACCAATCTTTCCATATTTGAAGGGATCTGGAGTGACAAAAAAAAGAGTTGAGCTTCAGAGAAGTCCCAACCACACCAGTTAATTAATCTGGTTGGGAAAAGTCGAGCCAACGACTTTAAAAATGGGCGACTTTCCGGGAGGCAACCCGATGAGTAGTTTTTAGTTTTATGCTTTCAATAAAGAGATGGTCGCAGTTCCAAGCAAGCTTGGGGAAATCAGAGGATCTTCAAAGTCGCTGAAATTCAGATTTTTCGCCACATTCATCGTCAAAATCAGATTTTTGCAAACTTATCAGGTACATTCTTTCCTGGCTGCACATTTTTGTTTATTTTCTTTATTGAGCTGTTCATTCCTCTCTAAGCATTGAAGACAATGCATTATTTTAAGCTTGGGGAGGGGGTTACTGTAAAAAATTGCATTTTTGTTTAAAATTTTAGTTTTGCAGTTTTTTTAGTTAAATTTTTTTAAAAAATTTCTTTTTGCATTTTATTTTCTGCATTGCATTTGCATATAAAAAATTCAAAAAAAAAAATCCAAAAATATTATATTTTCCTTTTTATTTTTCTGCATTCAAAAAAACAAAGAAAACCCAAAGATTTTTATTTCTAGTTATTTTTATTTATTATTTTCTGTATATAAAAAATCAAATTAAAAATCTTTAAAAACATATTTTACATGAGATGAGGATATCTTTTTACATTCGATAGCTCTGTTAAGATGAAGTGTGATAGTTACCAAAAATAACGGTCTCATTAAAATCAATTTTAAGAATTTTCTTTTCAAGTGCTTTGAATGTTTTCAATATGAACCAACATATGAGTCAGATAATTTTTACAATGGAAGTGTGGGATGGAAAAACAAACAGTGTTTTAGAAATAATTTCCTTAAATGCCTTAAAAAGAACCTAGATTGGATAACCCTTATCATTCCTTGAAGTACTGAACCCTATAGTTTCTGCGCCTTTTGCGGTTGGGAGGGAACTCTTGTTATACCCACAATCTATTATCATTTTTGAAGTATTGAATATATGGTGGGCCTCAAAGTAAAATTCGCGCCTAGTCAATATATATATATATATATATATATATATATATATATATATATATATATATATATATATATATAT